CTAGTGAAGTGCTCGCCGGGCTATGATCCTGGCTGTGCGCCCCTCCTCACCCTTGCTGCAGCCGCCCAGAGTCCTGTGGCCCAGCCCTACTCGCTGCCCTGCGTTTGCGGGGGCTCATCCTCCTTAGCCCTGGCCTTCTGCCGCCTATACAACTTACCTCAGAGCAGCCATGAGAATCCCGGCTTCTGTGCTGAAGGCTTGTGTTAGAAAAAAAAACAAAAGAATCTATATCACATCAAAATTTCGAACAAATGAAAAGACAGAACGTAAGAATTTGAGGAGGATTAATGTGGCACAGCTTTCATTTTGATCAAATTTCAAGTCAATAAATCACACTCTTCCAAAATTTGTACTAGTTTATAGATTTCATATCTTCCAGTGGGATTTGTTTTAAAACCAATGTATCACATTGCTCCTGAGAGCAAAAGAAAGCACAGTCCTCAATACAGAGGTATAACTGGCCAGCGCTGCACCTGGGCAGCAGCAGTGCACAGTGCAGAAGCAATGGCTGATGCCTGGGTATGTCATCTTTTTCTGCGCCAGCATGTGTGTTGCATAGCCATTTAAATACCTCTTTTCAGCAGCAAAAAAAAGGAAGCAATATCTCTGCAGCAGCAAACCTCTGGTTGCTGTTCCTGCACTGTGCGCCACCACTGTTTCTCTGCCCTCCTCACACAGAGGTGAGAAGTGCAAGGGGAGGGAGAGTGGGGAGGGTGAGTAGCTTCCTAGCTCTATTCTGGTACCCCCACCCATCTCACCTTGGGCAGTGCTGGGGGCTTATGTCCTGCTTGCCAACTAAGGGTTATAGTACTGCCTCAATAATTATGCCCCAATTCAACAGAATTTCAAGTGAATGGTGTTACTCAGGCTTTAAACCAAGTATCTTCCTAAACTGTTGTTGTAGAAAGCTAGAGCAATCTAGAGCAATGGGAGCCCTAACTTATGAAACCATAAAAACAACATCATGAGAGAAGCTGAAGTGATGTAGAGTTTATATAAGGATATATGTGACTAACAAATATAAACAGCTATTTAGCACACCAAAACAGAATGGTTTACTCTCTTAAGACAAACAGCCATGGCATCCCTCTCTGCAAGGACTCAAAAAACTCCAAAAGAACATTAATGACAATTCCTAATATTACTTTAAGCCATAAATATTTTTCATCTTCCCTTTTATTAACTCAGAAGTTTATGCACCTTAAAATACTGGTCCTGTAACTTTGTTTTTGGCTGTTCTTATAGACACTGTACTTTGAAGTCTAAAAAGCATCTTACCAAAAGACTCCTGAGCAGCCATCACATACAAAGGGGAGAAAATCTAAAAACAAAGAGATTTTATTCTAAATAACAAGGATGATATTTAGGTAATAGTTTTAGCTTAGACCTATATATTTAGCTGCTATTTAACGGCACAAAAAACAAACACAAACTTGTCTCCATTCAAAGTACTAAAAGCAATTTACTATCATCCCTTTGTATAACAAGTGTACTGATATTTAAGAACTGGAATCAAGTCTGATTTGCTAATCCTAC